TTTCTCCCTGAAAAAGCAACTGTCACCTTCAATGTAAATCTTTCTAGGAATAAGGAAAAATGCTTGAACATTAGCTCTTCCTCTCTTTTAACAATTAGTGTCCTCTGTTTTTTCCATAAAAATTATGTCAGTTTGACTTAATGATTTTCTCTGCCTGATAGATTGTGTGAGCTGATGTTTCTAAGTATGTTTCCGGCTGCAACGTTTCTTATTGCTGGCTTTATAATCATCATTATGATTTGGGATGATGCTATTGAGATTCTCGTTTCCCCAATAATTTCCTTGAATTGGTAGCATTTCACCAATATTTATCTTTTCTGCATCTTAGGTATGATGCAGAAGCTACATATTTTGATGAAAGTGTCAGATCTTCAAAGCGAAAGCAGCTGGAAGAAAAATTGCTGCAGGTAACATTGATCTACCATATTATTGCACAACCTTTTATTAGGATGCCTGTTCGTGTTATGTTGATACATTCTCTTTTTCATTTCTTTTCTTCCTCTGAGTCAGCTTCTCCAACCAGCATATCAGTCGATAGTATGACATATAAGATCTGGAACTTTTGATAAATTCAAGGAGGCTTTTGATAAAGCTTTAAATGGAGGGGAGGCATTTTCTGTGGCTGCTCATGGTTGCACTGAGACTTATATAACTTTGTTTGATGAAGGAAGTGCAGGTGCAGTAGAATGTCATGATGCCATTCTGTATTTTAAGTAAATACCAACAAATGTGTTAAAAATAAAAGTTACAAAATACAAGGTTGGAAGGCTAATGGAATAAAATGGACAAAAAAAATGAAAACAGTTTTTGGTTTTTCACAGCACTCTCTTTCCTGCAGATGCTATTATTGAACTAGCAAACTGGGATTCATCTAAAGCAAGGGATAAACTTCATCATGATATAGATGCACATGTTGCTTCAGTCCTTGCTGCCAAGTTTTCAGAACTTCATCATATGAGGTATGGAAATACATATATATCTCATCCACAGCCAGTGATCTGCATTGTGTTTATTGACAATTTTATGATTTTAACCAGGTATCATGTGGTGCCCCTTAACTATATGGGGAATATTACAAAGTTGGAGATAGAATAGCAGTCACAAATTTTTTTGCAAGAATTTTTGTACCATTTGAATATTGTGTATGGAGTTTAATCATGATTTATAAGAATCATGGAAGAGTGAAGTCTGTACTTGCATGTTATCTGTTGGTAATTTGTGCTTACTTGTTCTTGTACATTGTATACATAGATAACATAACAAATTAAAAGTAAAAAATTGATAACACTTGTGTTACCACATGCATTTCTTTAAAATATTGAGTTTTACCGTGTTGCAGTCAAGTCAAGTCACTGAGTTGGTTTGATTAAATGATTCTTTTGAAAGAAGAGAATTCAATCCCTTAAATGTTTCTTTAATATCTAGTAGAAGGGAAATAACATATTATTTTCTATAGAATCTCACCATTTGATTAATCTTATCTCCTTTAATTGATATTTCTGCTGTGTTACAGTTGGGGACAGTGGTTCACGATGCAAGAAATATATCTAAGTATAAACTGAGCACTTGAAAGCATATTATTAATGATGGTCTCTTTGCAGGCAAAACTGAATGATGCATTATCTGCACCTGTTGAAGCACTTCTAGATGGGCCTAATAATGAGACCTGGCCAGCAATAAGGAAACTTCTTCAGCATGAAACTGAATCAGCTGTTTCTGGGCTTTCCAGTGCACTTTCTGGTTTTGACATGGATGAAAAAACAAAGGAGAAGACGCTAACAAGTCTGAAGGATTATGCAAGGGGTGTGGTTGAAGCAAAAGGAAAGGAAGAAGCTGGAAGAGTCCTGAGCAGAATGAAAGATAGGTAATAACTCCTTTCCATATTTGACTTGAGGTTTTTTCGTTGTTTGATATTTTATGGCATGGAAATTGACTCTGAATTTGCATTTAGGTTTTCAATGTTGTTTAGTCATGATTCTGATTCAATGCCACAGATACGGACTGGGAATGAAGACATTCGAGCCATCACTAAAACAGCACGGACTGCTGTATGAGTTTGTTTATATGTTATTATCTAGTGAATCTTAGTTTTGTGCTGTGTTATGTTCCCTTCTAATTTCCTGTTTTTACCTTTTCCAGTCCTTGAAGTTGCTTTCCATTATGGCCGCAATTTGCTTAGATGATACTGCTGATAATATTGAGTATATACTATCCCTTGCCTTGGTTGATACCAAGAATAATGCTTCTGATAAGAGCATTACAACTGCTGATCCACTTGCTGCAAGCACTTCGGAGCAGGTTAATAAGATATCCTTACCAGAAAAGACCGTAGGAATCTTCACACATTTATGCACACATATTTTGCATTATTTTTTAGGCCCTCTTTACCTGAATCATGATTAATTCTTATGAAAATTTTGCTACAGGTTGCACCCTCAAAAACATTGATTACACCTGTCGAGTGCAAGTCTTTGTGCAGGCAATTCAAGGCGGAGACAGAATACAGTGTCACTCAAGCCATTTCTGCTCAGGCATGATATTTCATGTATTAGATTAGGAATATTCTTCTTATTTACTTTCTCTAAATTTCTAACTCCAACATTAGAAGCCAACTCAGACCAGACACTGCATAATTATCTTCGTCGTTATGAGTTCGCTTGCGCTAAGACTTCAGTTCAGCGATATTAGGTGTTCGAATTTGGTGAACGTGGCATATAAGGTTAACTAGAAAATCTGTAAGGTTCATATGAAATGTGGTAGTTTGCCACCATACTAGTATTTAGGTTTTCATGGTGTTTAGGACCTCATCTATCCCTGCCCTTCTTTCAAGAAAAAGGAAAAATTGTTATGGGATTGTGTTGAAACCAAGTAACCTGGAGTTGGTTTCCAAGAAAAATTGTTGTGTGACCTCCTCTATTGTTTTCCCCTCATAGTGCATGTGAATTACCTAATCATATTTATTAGAATGTGACTCTCTGGTATTCAGAATAAGCTGCCTCGGTTTTGGTAAACATGTGAAAGCCTACATCATGTATGCATATCAATCCGTCTCTCTTTTCTAATCCCAACTGTAACAATGTCTAATTGGTTTTGCTTTCCTCTTCAACTTTCAGGAGGCCAACAAGCGCAATAACAACTGGTTACCACCTCCATGGGCAACTCTTGCCTTGATTATCCTGGGATTTAATGAATTCATTACACTTCTCAGGTACATTATATCTGCCTTAAATAGTTATATTTCGTGTTTCAATACATAAACTTAACTCTCGAGTCTGGTATTTACTTGTGTTGGTGTATCTTCATGGCAGGAACCCTTTTTATCTGTTACTTATTTTTATGAGTTACCTACTTATTAGGGCCCAGTGGGTGCAACTAGACATTGCGGGTGACTTCCAAAATGGCGCTGTGAGTGAACATGATTTTCAAATCTTTAATTTGTGTTGGTTGGTCTTAGCTTGTTATTCAGAAAAAGACAAATTAATTCTTCAAAAATAAAAATGTGTACTTTCTCTTTGGATAGAACTTCAAATAGCTACTACAGTGGCCATTCATGGCATTCCTTTGTCTTCTGCTTTAAGCACTGTCCAATTAGCAATATTGTATTAGATGTTTAAGACAACAAACAAGAGGAAACCCAATAGGTACCATCAATTTAATCTGATGTTTAATCCTTTAGATTACTATTTTATGTTTACCTATTATAGACCTGTGTTTACTAGAACGTGCGAGGCTCATTCATTGGAACCCTATTTTGCTTCTTTTTTTTTTTTGGGGGCCAACCAAATCATTAAATGCCTAATCTTTAATTTTGTGTGCTTGCAGCTTCCTGGGCTTCTTTCCTTGTCAACTAAGTTCCTTCCAACTGTTACCAACCTGCCTAAAAAACTAGCTTTGGGGGGGCAAATCCTGCAACTAATTCCCCTCAGAGAAAGCCAGCAACAAAGAGCTCTCGACATGGAAGCAGAAGTGATTTAACTTCATCAGGATATGGTACTGAATACTCAAGTCCGTCCAAAGACGACTAGGCAGCGCGACTTGCCCCAACAGAGCATTCCATTTTTTGTTCTTTTCTACGTGCAAGATTGCTTCTCGCATTTTTGCTGAGGCTGTCTGTTCATGGGTGTCTTAAATTTTTGGTCCACGAAATTAAACTCTCACGAATCCTGACAGTTACGTATCTTGAAGGCATTGATTTTTGTGCAAGGTGCCACAAACAAGGATCAAGGGGCTCAACATTTGGTAGAAAAGGGGGCATGAAATAGAATCTTATATTCCAGTCTAGGTTATTATTTTATTTATTGTTTGACGTACAAGCCATAAGGGCTTCCTCCTTCTTGTGGCTATGGCTATGGTTTTGAGTTCATGGCAGTCTGCAACCAATTTTGTCTGGCGATTATTGTAATGCCATTTTCAATTTTTCTACAAAACTCAAATTTGTTGACTTTTTTTTTTAATGTTTTTCTTCATTTTTAATTACTTTCCTTATACTTTTGCTTGATAGTTATGCGTGGGTAGTTGGGCATAAAAGCCGGTAACATAGGATGCATGCATGCGTCGTTGTTTCTTTTAACATCTTCAGCTGAACCGGTTACGTGTGCTTCTGGGAATGAATTATTGACAATGGAATTTGTCAATGAGAGTCAACATCTTACAACATTATATATGTGACGTGTTAACGAGTGTAAGTCATTTTTGCCAGCAAATGCTGAGTTATCACAATAACCCACAAGATTGATTGTACCCTGTGCATTAGCAAAGCCAATATTGTCAAAATCAATCCCATTCATCTTTCAATTGATTGGATCTTTCCTATTACTTGCTGATTGTGATTCTCAATTTCAGATTCCATGGAGCGGCTTTTTAACAAACTGAGTGGGGAAGGGATAAAGGTTAAAATATTAATTTAGTCTCTTAATTTTGAAATTTATATCAAATTTATCTTTAAACTTTAAAACGTACCAAACTTTTCCTTCAACTTGATCTTTTCATACCCTTTTGGTCCTTCTATTAATGGAATGCTGATCTGTCACGTTAAGTCTTGAGAATTTTTTATTTTTTTTATTTTTAAGGTCAAATATGATGTGGAAATTGATAAATATATTACTTGGCTTACCTAGACAATTTTCAATATTTATGTAGCATTCAATTATTATATGGCAAAAAAAAAAAAACTTACAAACACTAAAAAATTCTCTCGCACAATTAATTAATTAAAACATAATATAATACCAAAAATAACCATCTTCAACCCCAATCCGTTCATTTTCCTTGTCTCACCTCTTTCTCTCTCTTTCTTTGTCACCATTTCTCCTCGCATCTCCTCCCACATCTCCTTTAACGAGTTCTCCATCGTATAGATCTAGGTAGCTCTTCTCTTTACACAATATTGGTTCTTTGATTTTCAACCTTTTTCTTTCTTTTCCCTTCTCTTCCTTTCTTTTTCTTCTTCTTTCCTTCTCCTCCCCTCCTCTTCTTTTTCTTCCCCCTCTTTGATCTGTTGAAGGAGAACCCAAATTCAGGTTCTCCTTGGGTTCTCAAGGAGAACCTAGATCTGGGTTTTCTTAGAAAACTTGATTGTTCTCAAGGAGAACTCAAATTTAGGTTCTCGAATTTTGAGGAAGATGACAAAGAAGAGAGAAGAAAGAAGAGAGAAGGAAGAGAAAGAAGATAATGAATTTTTATAAATTTTTGTTAGAAGGTTTACAATTTTCATAATATGATATGTTGTTTGGTTGCTAAAAAAATTGGAGGTAGAAAGAACATTTCCTTTGTAAAATCCATCTGGTTCCTTAAAAAATCTAGGATGACAAGAAATTTATATAACCAAGAGAAGATGATGAACATGGAAAAAGATGAATAGAGGAGAAATTCCCAAATCTTTTCTAGATTGTTTGATTTTGTGTAATTAAAAATAATTGATAATTCAAATCTATTATTAATTATTTGAGTGATTGGTTAATATGTTAATTACACAAATTAGTTAATACTTTTTAACTAATTAATTAAAAATATAATTTATGAAATATGTGGCTCCTTGTTTGTCCATGTCAAATTAAAAATTCTACGTGAAAGAAAAAAAAAAAGTACCACTTTATCACTTTCTGCAAGTTTCCTTTACCACATCATTTCCACATCAAAATTTTTTTTTAAATGTGTGATTTTTTGTCAACTTAACTACTATTTGTCAGTTCCATTTGCGAAAGAACAAAATTGGTATTGAAAATTAAAGTTTAATAACATTTTTAGTATTTTTTAAAGTTTAAGAATAAATTTGGTACAAAATTAAAAGTTGAGGGAACAAATCGATGTTTAACCAAAAATAAATGGAAGGGGAAGAGAGTTAATACTCCGTAGATGATATCCAGTAGTTTGCTGTTAGGACGGTGTAACAAATGCAGTTTGCTCTCAGCCACAAAAAATAAAAAATAGAAATTGAGTGTAAATTACAGTGGCAGTTTGCTCCCGACCAAAGAAAGAAAGAGAAAGAGAAAGAGAAAAGGTGTGTGTGTGTTGTTTCGATTCGAGCGTCTAAAAGAAGGAAGAGTTCTTCAAGGGCAAAACTCAAAAGCGCTGTTTGTTTATAGGGAGAATTTAAGAGGATTTTTTGTACTGAGAAAGTAATTAAGAAAAGTTAATAAATATAGTATAAAAATTTGATAAATTTCATTGATAAATTTTGTTAAAATTTTGTTAAATTTTTAATTTTTGTGTTTGATAAAAAAATTAGTATAGACTAAATTAATAAAAAAAAGTTATTAAGTGAATTTTACATAAAAAATTAGAGAGAATTTTTTTTAAAAAAATATATTGAAAGAAAAGTTTATAAATTAAAAATTATATAAAAAAATAAAAGTTAAAAACATCAATTTTACATTTCTTTTGTTGTAATATTAAAATGCAAAAATAGCGTAAATAATCTTCTAGAAAAAAAGTTTTTTAGTTTTTTTTTTTTATTTAACTTACTAATTAAACAGTCTCGATGTCAAGCTTTAAGACATGCTTGGTTAGATAACCAATTTTATTTAAAGAACTTTTTCTGAGAGAGTGGTTATATAAGTACTACATGTAAAGTTGATAAGTACTATATGAAGAATTGATAAAATTTGTGGTGAATTTTGTTACAATTTTCTAAAGTTGTTAAATTTTCTATGTTTCGTGGTGAAAAATAAATATAGAAAAAGTTAGTAAAAAAGTTGTTAAGTGAATTCTACATGGAGAAAGAAAGATATGAGAAACTTTTTCATTTCAAAAAGTAAGAAAAAATTTAACAAATTAAGAATTGTGTTAGAAAAAATAAAAACAAACAATGTTACTTTTATTATCATTTTATTAATATATTACAAGATTTTTTTAATTTGTGTCATTAGGGTACAGGTTAAGAGCTTCTTTTTTTTGCAATAAATTTGTATAAGAAAATATAATAGCAAATATTAATTTTAAAGTCAATGTTACGTGATTAAATTTAACTAAACAGTTGATAAATTAAATGTTATTTTTTATTTTTTCAAGAGCATAGATTAAAAAAATCCTATATAAAAATACATAAATAATCTTATATATAAAAAAAATTTGAAAAGTTTAAAGAGAATTGACTTGGCAACCAAACAGTCCCTTACGGACTTGTTTGAAATAGTTAAGTGTCTTGCTATCTCTGGTTTAGGACAATTTTAAAAATATTATATTTAATTAATATTTTTAAATATAATATTTTTAAAGCTAACTATTAAATTTAAAATTTTATTAATATATATTAGAGACACTCTTTTTAATTTGATTTAATTGTCCCATTTTGATGTTTGAAATTTTTGATTCGATAATTTTATATTATAAATAAATAACAATTGAAAACTTTTTTTTCTATATATATATTTTTTTGAGTATTTTCAATTAAATTAAAATATTTTTAATTGTTATTTATTTATTATATAAAACGATTAAGTTAATTTATATAAAATTGAAGAAGTAGAACAACTAAAAAAAAAGACAGAAGGGAGTATTAAAACTAAATTTAATACTGTTTGATATATATTGGTAAAAAAACTTCTTTGGTCAAAGAATTTTAAATATTATATTAATTTAAAATTTAATATATATAATTTACATAAATAAATATTTAACTCAATTGTTAAATTTTAAAAATATTAATTATAAAATAAAATTTTAAACATATCTTCTTTATTAAAAAAAAGAAGAAGAAAAAAAAGAAAGACAACCCCTTTTGCTAGCTATCTTGAATACTTATTCCTTATCCTTATCAATTTTCCTTTAATGAGTTAAGAGGAATAGCTAAAATTTATGGAGAGCTGACCTCGTAGCATTTCCTTTTTCCTGAAAAATGACTAGTATTTTTGAAATATCGATCCTTTACTTGCCGGCTTAACTTGAATACACGACCATCAGTTGCCGTTACAGTGCAATTCAGCAGCTGATTGGATTAATTGCTGGCAAGAGCAGAATTCGCTTTTGCCCTCTCAAGTGGAGTTGATACAGACTTTGGTGAAGTATGGACTTCCTTCCAAGTCCCCCTTAATTGTGATTTTGTATTTGTATTTATACTTTGTAACATTTGCTAGCTTTACTCATTTTTTATTCTTTTAACTTTTGATTATGATGACTTATGTAGTTATGTATAGTTACACAATAAGAATAGTATAGTTCTTTTTTTTTATTAAAATTTTTTGGTAAAAATATTAATTTTGTCTCTTAATTTTTAAATTTATATTAAATTTGCCCTTAAACTTGAAAAATATTAAAATTATTTTTTAACTTTAATTTTTAATACCAAAACAATCTTTATATTAACAAAAATGTTACATGATTTACTATTTTGTCACAAAAACAGTTCTTTAAAAAAAAATTAATGACATTTGAAATTAAATAATCATATTTTATCACTATGCCATTAAAGTTGAAGGATTAAATTAATACTTGTAATCAAAATTTAAGGATTAAGTTGGTTATAATGTATAAATAGAAATATGACATGGTAATAAAATATGAATATTTAATTTTACATGTTATTAATATTTAAAAAAAAAACTGATTTTTTACTAAAATAATGATATTTTTATTAATAAAGGGCTTATTTGACATAAAAAATTAAAATTAGAGGATAAGTATTGTACTTTTTAAAATTTAAAACTAATTTTAATACAAATTTAAATATTAAAGAACTAAATTGACTTTTTAACCATTTTTTTTTTCACTCATTTCAAATTGTGAATAGAAGGTTTTTAATATAAACAGTCAAAATCATAATCAATTCATAGAAAACGAAACAGCTTATTTTCGTTGAAAGAAGCGCACACCCCATAACCTTGCTTGATATATCAAATATATTGTCAATACAAGATAGCTGTAGTACATGTTTTGTCAAAATCAAATAAAATAAAAGCCCCTACTTTTGTGTTAAACATAAATGAACGCATTAAATTCTGGCTAACCTAGTTAGATGCTGATAGAATTATTCTCTACACTTGGCACACAGTTTACAGTACTTATTCTTACAGCTGGATACTCAGAGGTAGGGCTGTGTTAGCTGTAAAATTTTCAATGAAAAGCATATTAGATTTTGATTTGTACTGTTGAATTAATTGTAGCTGCCAAACAAATATACAGTCCTTATTTTCTTTACTTTTCACTTTTTTTTTTTTAACAAGTTATCAAGTAACAGACTCAAAGTTTGCTAATGAGAAAGAAAAAATGCATCTTAAACTGACAGATTGGGCCGAAGCACCAATGCTTTACTTTTCATTTCATTAAGAATGTGTTGCCCATTAAAAGAAATTGTTAAGGACATGTGGAAAAATGTTGGTGTATAGTAGTATTTTAAAGAAAAAAGACAATTATAAATATTTTCAATTCATTCTATATTTTAATTGTATCGTCTTTTACTTTACATAAATAATCTAATAATTGAATAAATTTTATAATTAGGTGTTATATTAAGAATAATGTATATTTATTCTTGATTAAAAAAATAAAAATAAAGTTAAAATAATATTCAATGTCTCATATTAAAAGAAAAAATTGTGATAACTAAACTAAAATACCTAAAATTAAATGAGGAGTAGTTGAAATTAGATGGTGTTTGTTACCAGAAAAGTTTTTTTTC